GTTTTAACAGCTAAAACGTGCAGGTGACATGTCCTATGACTATTCTATATCCATTACACCCATGCATTTACTTTTTTCCTTTACTGAAAAATCTATAGTTCAGTGGAAGAACATATTGATTGGGAGCCTGGAGGAAGATAATATTAAAACTCGGGAATCTTCCGCGTAATTCGGGAGAGGTGGCAATTATGGTCCAGTGTGGACCAATATAAACATGTTAAGTGTTTCAACTAAACTCCCTATTAGTTCTTTAACACTGACAAATCTGCGGTGTTGAGCAGACAGGAAGTCTGGGGGATGAAGGTGAAAATGTTAAATTGATTGTACTTAACCATAGACTTATGCCCTGATTTTTATCGATTGCAAATAAGGGAATTAGACCAGCTAGAAGAGCGAGGTACCTGAGAACGCTGGGACCCTTTTTCCACCTGGATCCCCGCTAATTTTTGCCCTCATGTCCCTCCATTGTCGCACACTTGCCTCTTGCGTTTTTTCCACTTCCTCACCACCTTGGCCGTATCTAGACCCACAGCTAGTTTGTGATTTCCCTTGTGTGGAATTACATAGCACACTTCACGCTCACTGTGACACACACTGCTTCAGTATAACCAGCCCTTAACTGTGGCCATCAGATTGTGATCTGCATAATGATGAAGGTACACTTGCGAAAAAGTTTAACACATGCTTGCTGCTGAATTGGGAAAGCAAATCCCTTTACACTTTCTTTGAAGATCTGCTCTGCATGTTCTAACACATTTGCACCAGTTTTCACAGTTGAAAAGAATTTTCCGCAAGCACATTTTGATGGAAGCCCTAGGTGTAGGTACTGAACAGCTGTTTTTAGCTGTAGAAAAACCATTAATCAGTAAGGCTAAGAGGGAAAAATGGCTACTTTTTGATAGGGGGAAAGAAGATTGAACTTGTTAAAGAAAAATTATTATTTTTAGTTTTTAATACAGTTAATCTTATGGCATGTGTAAAAGGTATGTTGAGCACTCTCATTTTGAACATATTTCTTAATTTTGAACAAGTTTGTGAAGATAACCTTTCCTTGAACCAAATTACTTAATTTAAGTTTGTTCCTGAGAATTTATGGCAGAAAGAAGCCCCGCATTCCACAGCTATTTTGTGAAATCTTATCTTATGTTTTCCTTAGCCAGAGGACCTTAGAATTCCTGGAGGCCAGGCCGTAAATTAGGGGAAGTTCTAAGTTTTTCTGAGTGTCCAAGATAGCTCCTGGTTGGAGGAGCAAAAGCCAGCCTTATTTGAATAAATTAAATACAAGAGGATAAAACTTTCTACATAGAAGTAACAAATCAGATTTGCTCTTGCAACTCTCCAAAGATGTCTTTGTCTTTGCGTTCTTTCCTTCTCTCCATTTATGTCAGGTAAATGAATGTATGTCTCAGTTGATCTGCAGTTTCTGGTGTAAGTTTGTGCATTGTCTTACTTCTAAGTTTATGCATTGTCTTATATTGGATTAAACTCTGTAATTCTGTGACGTCAAACATGCATTGCTGGTTTCCTTGTGGCCACACGCAGCACGCCGGGAGGACCTGGGATACAGAGGAAGAGAGAGAGCCAAACTTTTTTCCAAAATTAACTTTTTATAAATTTCTTCCTTTAACAAACTCTAGAAAACTCAAAGAAGGTCATGTGGTCTGAATAGTCCAGATAGGTGCATATGGGAGTAGAGGCAGCGAAAGTGATGCACCCATCATGCCTTGTACCTGTGGGGACTGAGCTATAGTCTGAGGTTGCTGCAGTATTTCAGGGTTCAGCACATTATGTGCCCAACAAAGGATGTCAGCTGAATACCTGATTATATTTAATAACCAGGTTATTTCATTAATGTTTATTTTCTTCCCTAATGACATTAACCTGATTTATCTAAAGACATCCCAGAATCACCCAGTAAAGCTCAAAATCATAACAGACGAATAGATAAAAATACCAAATACTTTTGTTTATGGGTAAAACTGTGAAGTATAAGATGAAATACTTCAAAGCATGACTCCAGAAGATGGTAATCACAGCACGTAACCAAAACCAAAAATGACTCAGCTATTACAGCTTTTATTTCTGTCATCCTTACTAGTCATTGATGCTACTGGTTATTATTGGTAATATCACTGGCACTGTGTGCTGAGATATACAGGTGCTGGTCATAAAATTAGAATATCATGAAAAAGTAGATTGATTTCAGTAATTCCATTTAAAAAGTGAAACTTGTATATTATATTCATACATTACATACAAACTCATATATTTCAGATGTTTATTTTGTTTAATTTTGATGATTACAAATGACAACAAATGAAAATCTCAAATTCATCATATTACTGAATATTACTGAAGACCAATAAAAACAAAGGATTTATAGAAATGTTGGCCAACTGAAAAGTATGAACATGAAAAGTATGAGCATGTACAGCACTCAGTATTTAGTTGGGCCTCCTTTGGCCTGTATTACTGCAGCAATGCGGCGTGGCATGGAGTCGATCAGTCTGTGGCACTGCTCAGGTGTTATGATAGCCCAGGTTGCTCTAATAGTGGCTTTTAGCTCTTCTGAATTGTTGGGTCTGGTGTATTGCATCTTCTTCTTCACAATACCCCATAGATTTTCTATGGGGTTAAGGTCAGGAGAGTTTGCTGGCCAATTAAGAACAGGGATACCATGGTCCTTCAACCAGGTACTGGTAGCTTTGGCACTGTGTGCAGGTGCCAAGTCCTGTTGGAAAATGAAATCTGCATCTCCAAAAAGTTGGTCAGCTGCAGGAAGCATGAAGTGCTCTAAAACTTCCTGGTATGTGGCTGCGTTGACCCTGGACCTCAGAAAACACAATGGACCAACACCAGCAGATGACATGGCACCCCAAACCATCACTGACTGTGGAAACTTTACACTGGACTTCAAGCAACGTGGATGAAGTGCCTCTCTTCTTTTCCTCCAGACTCTGGGACCTTGATTTCCAAAGGAAATGCAAAATTTACTTTCATCAGAGAACATGACTTTGGACCACTCACCAGCAGTCCAGTCCTGTTTCTCTTTAGCCCAGGCAAGACGCTTCTGACGCTGTCTGTGGTTCAAGAGTGGCTTGACACAAGGAATGCGACAGCAGAAACCCATGTCTTTCATACGTCTGTGTGTGGTGGTTCTTGAAGCACTCACTCCAGCTGCAGTCCACTCTTTGTGAATCTCCCCCACATTTTTGAAGGGGTTTTGTTTCACAATCCTCTCCAGGGTGCGGTTATCTCTCTTGCTTGTACACTTTTTTCGACCACATCTTTTCCTTCCCTTCGCCTCTCTATTAATGTGCTTGGACACTGAGCTCTGTGAACAGCCAGCCTCTTTAGCGATGACCTTTTGTGTCTTGCCCTCCTTGTGCAAGGTGTCGATGGTCGTCTTTTGGACAACTGTCAAGTCAGCAGTCTTCCCCATGATTGTGTAGCCTATAGAACTAGACTGAAAGACCATTTAAAGGCTTTTGCAGGTGGTTTGAGTTAATTAGCTGATTAGAGTGTGGCACCAGGGGCCATCAATTTTGAACCTTTTCACAATATTCTAATTTTCTGATATGATGAATTTGAGATTTTCATTTGTTGTCATTTGTAATCATCAAAATTAAACAAAATAAACATCTGAAATATATGAGTTTGTATGTAATGTATGAATATAATATACAAGTTTCACTTTTTAAATGGAATTACTGAAATCAATCTACTTTTTCATGATATTCTAATTTTATGACCAGCACCTGTAGATCAGTGACAAATTTAGGAAATTTGAGGCCCTAGGCAAAGACAGGCGGGGGGCCATCTGAATTGAGAAGACAATACATAAAATAGACCCATTATACAGATACAAGCATTTTAATAGAACAGACACATGATTTGTTTCTTGCTGTTTTCCTCTCTATGTTTTGTACTCAGCCGACTTTTCATCTTGTCTCAAAAGGAATGAAAGATGTTTTCCAAGCACTAAGCTCACGTAGCTGATTGCTCCTTTCTGTATTTCCAAAAAGGCAACGGCAAAAGTAAATAACTCATTCCTTCTTTTCACTGTAGACAAGCCTTGATCTGATTCTCTGTTCTCCATTTTTCATTTGCATGAAATATTAGCTGCATGAATCATGACAGCAGACAAGATAGAGAAGGGCAGAAGGAATGGTTACAAATCTACTTGCTCTGGAGAGCAGAGTTCGGTGCTTTAATATGTTGTTGTCAAAGTCTCCAGTAGCAGAAAAAGTTGCTGGATTTGGCACTAGGTGCTTTTTTGAAATAAAAGTACTAGAGGGGTTTGAAAAGTTGCTAAATATAGCGACAAAAGCGGTGAGTTGGCAACACTGCTCTTCCCGCTGTTTGTTTTCAAATGGTTTGCTGTTTGTTTGGACCTTTCTGAACATGCAGAGAAAATGGACTGATCCAATGTGGTGAACACTGAAGGGTGGGAGCTGAGACTCACTTAATATTATAAGAGTTCTGATGGCATTTTAGCGAAAGGATTTTTATCAAAAGTATACCTGAATGTGCACAAATAAGGACCAGCTGTATAAACCATACATGTAAAAGGAGGTTTATGGGGCCCTCAGGAACATGAAACCCTAGAGAACTGCCTAGTTTTGCCTAATGGTAAATCACCCCTGCTAGAGATAGTTACAATAATTTAATTATTAAATTTATTCTGTAATTTATGATTTAACAATTTTTTATTGTTTGACTTGTTAACATACTACTCTAGAATTAAGAAGTGTTTGAAATTATGATGTTCGAGAACAGTTGAACAACTTAGTCCATCTACCTGCTCCTTTGAACACGTAAAAATTCTCTATAATTTACTGATTCTCTTTTGTTTGTTCCTATTTTCTTTGTCCTTTTTTTATTTAAGTTTGATATACTCAATTCAAATGTTTTTTAATGTACTTTTAGTGTGCAAAATTAGACAAATGAATGCTGGCTCCTGGAAGTTGCACTGCTGATAACCTTGGACTTCTTTGCAGAATTGGTGGGGCGGTGCCGATAGTATTCTCCTACTTTGCCGAGGTCCTGGCCAGAGAGAAGAGAGGAGAGCACCTGAGCTGGCTTTGCATGTTCTGGATGATCGGAGGAATTTATGCCTCAGCTATGGCCTGGGCCATCATCCCTCACTATGGTGAGTGTCAGCGCTCTATCACAGCATACAGTGGGGTAAATCGGTTATTGGTGCTCCACTAATTTTCTAATCAAAACAAATAGAGAGGTCTGTAGATCAGCAGCTGCCACCTAGAAGCCTGAAGAAAAAATATATATATGTAGATATATCTACAGTCATGGCCAAAAGTTTTGAGAATGATTGAATGAATATTTACAAAGTCTACTGCTTGAGTTTTTATAACAGCAATTTGCATATACTCCAGAATGTTATAAAGAGTGATCAGCGTAACAGCAATTAATTGCAAAGTCAATATTTGCCTAGAAAATGAACTTTATCCCCCAAAACACATTTCAACGTCATTGCAGCCCTGCCTTAAAAGGACCAGCTAACATCGTTTCAGTGATTGCTCTATTAACACAGGTGTGGTTGGTGATGAGGACAGGGCTGGAGATCCATCTGTTATGATTAAGTAAGAATGACACCACTGGACACTTTAAAAAGAGGCTGGTGCTTGGCATCATTGTTTCTCCTCTGTGAACCATGGGTATCTCTAAAGAAATACGTGCAGTCATCATTGCACTACACAAAAATGGCCCAACAGGAAAGAGAATCACAGCTAGAAAGATTGCACCTCTGTCAACAATTTATCGCATCATCAAGTATGGAAGCAAATCGTTACCATATTTAAAATGAAAAAGCATGCTCAGAAATGCTTTTTCATTTTAAGAATGTGGCTGCATTGTTTGACTCATAAATGGAATTAGTAATCAATCATCCTATTTGCATTCTCGTTTTCTTCTTCAATACCGCTCATCCTTTTACTAAATTAAAATGAAAAAGAAAAAGACATTTGAGATTTATTTTTCAAAATGCACCCCTGCAAATTACATACCAAAATTCAATTTGAAATAAAAAATTTGAAAATGAAAAAGCATTTCCAGAAATACTTTTTCATTTTAAGAACGTGGCTGCATCGTTTGACTCATAAATGAAATGAGTAATCAATCCTCCTATTTGCATTTTCATTTGCTTCTCCAAGACTGCACATTTTATGCCATAATCAAGGAGAAAACACAGCGGACATTGCTTTTTCATTTTCATGGTCTGCCTGCAAAGTACTGTCCTCAACTCGAAAACAAAAAAGCATTCTGAGTGGTGGGGGCAGCAGAGTGACGTCAGCAGCCGCTCTTCCTGGTACTCAGCTGCTCTTCCTTTACGATTTGCTTCCATAATCAAGAACTTCAAGGAGAGAGGTTACATTGTTGCCACAAAGGCTCCAAGGCGCACAAGAAAGACCAGTAAGCGCCAGGACCGTCTTTTAAAAGTGTTTCAGCTGTGGGGTCGGGCTACCAGCAGTGCAGAGCTGGCTCAGGAGTGGCAGCAGGCAGGTGTGAGTGCATCTGCATGCACTGTGGGGTGGAAACTCTTGGAGCAAGGCCTGCTCTCAAGGAGGGCAACAAAGAAGCCACTTCTCTCCAGGAAAAACATCAGGGACTGATATTCTGCAAAAGGTACAGGGAGTGGACTGCTGAGGACTGGGGTAAAGTCATTTTCTCTGATGAATTCCCTTTCCGATTGTTTGGGACATCTGGAAAACAGCTTGTTCGGAGAAGACCAGGTGAGCGCTACCACCAGTCTTGTCTCATGCCAGCTGTAAAGCATCCTGAAACCATTCATGTGTGGGGTTGCTTCTCAGCCAAGGAGTCGGCTCTCTCACATTATTACCTAAAAACACAGCCATGAATAAAGAATCGTACTAGAATGTCCTCCGAGAGCAACTTCTCCCAACTGTCCAAGAGCATTTTGGTGATGAACAATGCCTTTTCCAGCACCATGGAGCACCTTGCCATGAAGCAAAGGTGATATCTAACTGGCTCAGGGAACAAAACATAGAGATTTTGGGTCCATGGCCTGGAAACTCCCCTGATCTTAATCCCATTGAAAACTTGTGGTCAATCATCAAAAGACGGGTGGACAAACAAAAACCTAGGAATTCTGACAAAATGCAAGCATTGATTGTGCAAGAACTGACTGCTATCAGTCAGGATTTTGTCCAGAAGTTGATTGAGAGCATGCTAGGGAGAATTACAGAGGTCCTGAAGAAGAGGGGTCAACACTACAAATATTGACTCCCTGCATTAACTCATTCTGTCATGAAAAGCTTTTGTTACTCATAATATGATTGCAATTGTATTTCTGTATGTGATGACAACATCTGACATACACAAATGAAAGCCAGAGGGCAGCAGATCATGTGAAAATATAATATCTGTGTCATTCTCAATACTTTTGGTCATGACTGTATATATTTATTTGTACTTTAAGACATAAGTGATGTAACAAAATAATACTGAGACTTAATTAAGCTGAATCAAAAGTAGTTAATTTAAATAATACTTAAAGGGTTACTCCAGCTGAATATTTTGTTCTTTCGTTAATTAAATTACATATCAGTTTGATTACTGTACATTGGAAATCTTCATTAGATTGCCAGACTTAAGCCTGGCCTTTTATATCTCATCTGAACACATTTGAGAGCAAGTGTTTACTTTGAGCTCCTTACTCATCTGCAGAAATAAAAAAGCTCCAGCAAATATAACACAAATCCTTTCTTCCACCGTAAATAACATCAATCTGTTTATAATGTAATGGTGTCTCTAAGTATAGCATCCTCTTGGGTCTTTATTCTGCTTGCCTGAAGCAAATGATACTCTCTACTCCACTCTAGTAGATACTTTTTCCACTGTAATAAAATCCATTAGGGTAAATATGCGTGAGGGGGGAGGTAAAACCTCTGCTTGACTTTTTATAGATCTGCAAATATGTGAAATACCCAGAGCAAAATAACACTGCATTAGTTAAGAATCAAAAGAGAGCTTCGAGTTACAGCGAGAGCCATGATTACATACTGGATGAGAGAGGCTGTGTGTTTAGATCCAGAAATCATTTACTACACAATGAAATGTTAATGAGGTTCCCAATGACAAGAATACACAAAAATAGGTTAGTGGATTGTAATGTCAGTGTGAGGTCCATATATTACCCTATAGCTGATAAAATGTACAGGGCATTGCAAATGCATTCCATGTGCAGGGATTATTTAAAAATCAGGAAGCCACCAGGGTAAAACAGATAGCAGGTGGTTGAGTAGGTGGAGGCTCCAACAACTACAGCAACAGGAAAAAAGCTATATAGCAGGAATGCAATGTACAGTGCCTTGCAAAAATATTCACATATCTTGCGAAGATTGGTTTTCTTTATGGGATTAATATTAATCAGCAAAAATGTGCACATAGTTTAACATTTTAAGGAAATAATGCCAGGGCTGCCTTTCGGCAAGAAGTTTCCAGGTTTGATTCCTGGCCCGGGATCCTTCAGCATGGAGTTTACATGTTCTCCCTTTGCATGTGTGGGTTCTCCCCGGGTACTCCGTCTTTCTCTAAATTCTCCTTAGGCGTGAATAGTTGTTTTTCCTGTTTGTCTGTTTATTGCCCTGGGATAGACTGGCGACCTATCCAGAGGGTAAACCCCACCTCTCTCCCATTGACAGCAGTAGATAGGCACCAGCACCCCTCACGACCCCAGCTGGGATAAGAGTGACGCAAAACAGATGGATGGATGCATTGAAATAATGGCCATTTTCAAACTAGCCCATTATTAGATAAAATAAAAGAACTTCCCCTCTTTTGTAATTACAGAGGCAAGTCTATAGTAGTGTATCTCAGCTTTATAGAACCAGACTAAGTTTGCAGCGTAGTTCAAGTTCACTTGGATGGGATGGAAATTGTCAGTGAAATAATATCTGGGCTTATGTGTCCTCAGATTTTTTATAAGATTTAGGTCATGACTTTGTCTGAGCAATTCTAATACAGGAATCATATTTTATTTAAATGACTGTACCTCTGTGGAGTGAAATTTGTTTTGTTATTATTGCAACAATGGAGAAAAAATAAAAATAAAATAGCTATACAATCTAAAAATGAAATGGGGAAATCTTCCATTTTGAGAGTAACTTTTCTGTTTTCTCACATTTTGTTCTCCTTTTAAGATTGATATATAAGAATTGCATTCTTTTCATTTTACAGATCATATTCTTTTCACCTCAACCAAATGCAAACGCTCACTCTTGACCACTAAAACAACTTTTTGCTACTGATTCCAGAGGAGAGGCCCTCCCCTCAGATGTGAAAAGAATGCAATTTTTATGACTCAGTCAAAAAAAGACAAATGAAAAGATAAATTTGAAAAAAAATTAATAGAGAACAAAAAGCTAAAGTCTAAGAATTTTTTTAAATTATTATTATTAAAAAAATTAATAAAATCTGAGAACACAGCAACATACACCCAAAACGATTTTTTTATTTACACATTTTTCAAAGTTTTATTCCTTGATTTTTTTTTTTTTTTTTTTTTTTCCAAAAATGTTTTTTGCAAAACATTTTGTATAAATAAATCCATCCATCCATTTTCTATTGCTTAGTCCTTGTCAGGGTCGTGGTGGGGCCCTCTCTGGCAGTCTATGGGCGAGAGGCGGGGTCCACCCAGGATAAGTCAACAGGCTATCACAGGTCAACGCAGAGACACATAGAGACACATAATGCATGCAGACACTCACACCTAAGGTCAATGTAGAGAAGCCAATTAACCTAACAGTATTGTTTTTGGACTGTGGGAGGAATCTGGAGTACCCAGAGAGAACCCACACATGCAGAACATGCAAACATGAAGAAAGAGCCCAGGCCAGGAATCAAACCCAGAACCTTCTTGTTTCAAGGCAGCACTGCGAACCATGGCGTCACCCTGTTTAAAGAAATATCCATTTCCAAAAAGTGCTCCCTCCTGGCTGCACATTTGGGTCCATTTTCCTGCAGAAACCTCTGCTCCAGTCTCTAACAGCTTTTCTTCCATTTTTGTATTTAGCTCCATCCATCTTCCCATCAACCTTTTTATGTCGCTGTAAAGAAATGCTGACCCACGGCATAAAGCTACCAACTCCAAATGCGCACCTTCCTTTTTTG